ACCTCCAGCACTTTTGCCTTGTCTTTCTGATCCCTATTCCGATACACCATCCAAGCTATATCCAATAACTCACCGATATCTTTCTTCTCACCTGCCTTTTACAACTTTTTCCTTATATCATCTGCAGACTGACCTATGAACAAATAGACCAAGTGTTTTTTCCCAAGGTCTGAATCGATGTCCACATCTGTATACTTTTATATGACCTCTTTCAGCCTATTCAAGAAGTCTGTCGGGGATTCATTCTTTTCTTGCTTCACCTCATACATTTTTGACCAATTTACTGCTTTTGGAATACCATGTCTTAAACCACGCACCACCCAATCCTGATAGCGTTTCAATGCTTCCCTCTTTTCTGGTAAATTGGGATCCCATTTTGGGTCCTCTGGGGGGAATATATCCTTAAGTTCCCCTGTGAGTTTTCCAGATGCTAGTAGTAGCTCAATCCCAGACCGGGCAGCTCACTTAACCATTTCCTTCTCCATACTATCAAGTAATGTATCCATCATGACTTCCAGGTCATACCAGTCCGGATCTTGTGTTCTTATTGCTCTTTCCACATAATTAGCCACCTTTTCTGGGTTATCTCTATATGCCCCCACTGAGGCCTTCCATTGCTGTAACTCAAACAGAGAAAAAGGAACTTGGTTACCCATGGTCTGTCTCAGGGGAGCCTCTATGACAGTTTTCTCCTTTTTTGTTCTCGTTCTCCTAGCCACCGGGCTTGGATCCGACAGAGCCTCACACACCCTTCTCCCCCTTCCCCTGGCAGTTGCCGCGGAAATCTTCGCCTTTGTTTTTGGTTTTACTACGGGAGCTTTTTCCTCCTCCGAGGCTGGGAACGATCTACTCCTTGGCATGTCCGTTCCCTGATGATATGGGGCAAAAGCTGGAAACGCCCCTGGGTGCTGTCCCACCACTTCCGGAATGGAAAACCCTGCATACCAAGGAGGTCAGTCGGAATGACCGCGCCCCTCGCATACCCAGTGGGAGGGTAAGGACGGTAAGGGACTGGGAGGGCTAAAGGGGAAGAGGCGGCTCCGGCACCACCCAAAATGGCGGAGCCAGAGGTTCCGGTGTCGATTAGGGCGGGGACACCGGCTGCAGGCACCGCCCCTACTCCTCCTCCTCCCGCAGCTCCGGAGGGAATTTTGCCCGTAGCTGCCGAAGTATCGTGGGCAGCCGTGTCTGTGCCAGTTGCAGCCGAGGGGCGGTCTGCGCCTGCGCCTGCCGCGATCCCCGCTCCGTCCTTCGGAGCCACGGCAGCTCTCATCGCCCTGGTGACCGCGCCGGCGGCCGTTTGTCTCGTAGCGGTGGGTCCCACCGCCGCCCTCGTGGCGATGGCTCCGGTAACTGCCGTGGCAGGAGCCGTCCCCGCCGGTCCCGTAGCACCCGCGATCCCTGTCGCTGCTGCCGGACTCTCCGCGTTGACTCCCGTGCCAGACCCAGCCCCTGGCGGTCCCGTGGCTGGGTCTGCTCCCGCAACGCCGGCAGCAGCACCTACAGCCACGCCTGCAGCCCCTGCGGCCGCCTGACCAGCGCCGGCAACCACCTCCGCCTGTCCCGCCACGCCCGCGGCCCCAGCGGGACCCGCGCCCACTGCACCTACGGCAGGTCCCGGCGTCGCTAGTCCCGCGGCGCCTGCCGCCCCAGCAGGAGCGGCCGCCGCCACCGCCCCTGCTGGTCCCCCAGCGCTGGCCGCGACCACTCCAGGAGGAGAGGCTCCCGGGCTTCCCCCTCGCAAATCGGAGGCCATCAAAAGATCTAAATCCTCGTCCGTCGGTCTTTTAACATAAATTTGGCTGATGGGATCACGTTTACCACGATCTTTCCTCTTTCCTCTCTCTAAAGCCATTTCCGAGAGCTCTGCCTCTGCCGGGGCTTTTGATGCAAAGAAATCCTTAACAATATATATAAAGCACACTTTTATTACGGCCGGGGAGATGCAGGGGGGTTTCGCCTCCCCCGTGCATGTCCGCTGAGAAAAGAAACACAACAGCTTTTTATACAGTGAGTTTCAAAAATTATCTATCATATACACTCTTTTCGAAGTCTGTCTTATCTAAATAGACATTTGGTTGCCTAACTCCTATTCTTATTATTATAGAGTAGTTACATAAAGTTTTATCATTTCAAACACCTTAGGTTCCCCCCACCCCTCTTCTGTCTTCCTTGCAATGCTATGTGCTAAAAGTCCTTCCTGCTTTCCCTGACAGTCCCTTTTGTTTACGTAAGCTAGCTTTATCTTAACTGCCCACAATTTGGGCAGTAACCTTCTTTCAAGCAGTTACAATTTTGCAAAGTCACACTAACATAGCTAAATTTTTATTTTATTTTGTCTTGTCCTTATTTCAATTTCCCCCTTTTCTTTTAACTAATGCAAATTCTTTTGCATCACCCTCTGTACAGTCCAGAGTACATGTACTTGTTGCGCTATGGTCTTAATTCTCCACCACATCCATAGATGGATGATTGTAAGGAGGAAAGCTACCAGCATCAAAACCAAGACCGGATGAACCAGGAAGTTAAACAGCTGGGCTGCAGTGGGTGATTGTATATTGGTTGTTCCCAGAAATATGTTCCACCAATGATGTTCTCCAGTCTTTGCCACTTCGGTAATGATGTTTTTAATCTCCGTGGTGTCGTGTTTTACTTGCCACAGCATGCGAGGTGAAGTAGCATTTACCTTTTCCATCATTTGTTCAACATCAGGATGATAGAGCATTTTCTGGAGGATATTAATGTCCGTGCCTATTTGTAGTTTAGGCACTTCATGATATAACATATATTTATCCAAGATCAATTGCATGGTGGTCACAGGAGCAGTGTAACTAAAGTCACATCCTATTATTTTAGTAAAATTGCAAACACAGAAGTTAGTACCATTGGTTGATTCTTCACAATCATCAATAGTTATACTTGTGCAAGGTGTCCTGATGCATCCACATCCTTTGCCTACATAGTATACTTGGGACTGTACCTGTGTATTTGGGAACATTTCAAAAGTACATATACTATCTTCCGTATCTAAACATAAATCCTCCTTCTCTGTTACAGCATTTTCACATACATATCCTAGTTGTTCTCTGGGTATACAGGCTTCTGTGCTCATAGTTTGCCATCTCCCTATGTCCCTGTCATAGCTTGCCCAGACATTATGTCCCATGGGTCTAATTACCATGTCCCGGTGTATTGTTCCTAATGCTAAGACAGGAAATATGGTCCGTTCTTTTGCCTCACGGATGGTAAGAACATATGCCTCTATCTGCTCCTGCTTTGAGTTATATGTGAAGTTTACTAATTGCCACCATGCCTGATGTTCTTTCTCAAATTTGGTTGTGGTGTCATTTCTGGATATGTTCTCTCTTATTTATTGAGGTAAAATTCCTGATGTTCCTTCTCTTATGACTCCTGCAGCTACGGATCGTATCCATTGTTGGGTTTGGATACACTGTATTGCTATTGAGACATTTTCTTGTAAACCTCCAAAAACATTAGTCACAACCTGAAAATCTTCAGATGTGTGTTTAGTTAACAAGATCATCAAGTCTGTAGTAAGAGATTGTGTTTCAGCTATAGTCATTAATAATGATCTTAGTGGTACCTCCAGTTTTCCCAAATCAGAGGTTACAGTGCTGAGTTTATTAATTAATATTTCCTAATCTATTGAATTTAATACACCTAGTCCTGATCCAAACCATCCTGTTAGATCTTTTCGTGTTCTTTCATGGTGGGATCTAGTTCTTAACCAAGCACTCCATCCTTTAAGACTTTGGAGAATGAAGGGCTGACAATCCCCTTTTATAGAGGATATGTCTGTTTGGATTTTTACCTGGACCTTTTTTAGTGAATATGTAGGGTCCAGGAGTAACTTCTGCTCATTAGATTGTCTAATTGCATATGGTCCTACAAGGGAAAGATTATGACTTTTTTCTGTACATTCTGAGGGTGTATATGAGGAAGGAGTCAGTTTAGCAGAAGTCTTTGTTGTTGAAGTAGATACTGTTGTGGTGGTGTCTATTACAAATTTCTTTGATAGTGCCTTGTCTCCTTTCAAAGTAGCCCAAAGACATACTACGGAAACTGGTTTGTCCAATGTAAAGTTGTGCCAGCACTGATCAGACACACAGACGGACTTACCAATCAGTTTTCCCTTGTTATATTCTATGGGTTCTCTTACAGTGATTTGGGTCTGGGACATTTGTTTCTCATGGTCAGGTATATTAATTCCTCTACATCCTATTTGTATTTCCCCAGTTATTCCAGTTAAGATATTAAGCCCATTCCTTTTCTCCCAGTTGTGTTCTAAATATGGTTCATTTTTGTGCATGACCACAGTGACCAGGTTTAAATTAGAAATGTCTCTTCCAGACATACCAGAATATCCGATATAAACCTGAGACCACGGCTAGTCTAATGTAATGGCTTGAGCCAGAGTTATTATACTTATCAGAGTTCCAATGGCTAGTGTCGAGTAAACTTGAGGGTTGTTGGTCCTACAGATTCTGACGTCCATGTTTCTTTAGGTGACTTCTTCACTCGTGAATAATGAATCCAGGTGGGCTCTTCTTTGATTTTGATTGCTGTGAAGATCGTCAGAAGCACTTGGTATGGTCCTTTCCACTTCTCATCTAGTGGTTGGCCTGAAAAAGTTTTAACATACACCTGCTCTCCAGGGGCAATGTTATGTAAGGGCTGGTTTATTCCCCTTGAGCGAGTACTCATTACTTGTTTGTTAATTTCTGACAATTGTTTACTCAATGTGATCAGATATTCCCATATATATCCTTCCTCAACATGTATGAAGTTTTTTCTTTGATAATAATTCCCATAGGGTCTCTCGTATAACATTTAAAAGGGGCTTAGGTTTGACCCTTATTCGCAATAAGGCTAGAAGTAAAGCTTGGTACCAATGCAGATTTACTTCTTGACAGATTTTTGCCAATTGTTGTTTTATGAAATGATTCACTTTTTCACTTGGCCACTTGCCTGTGGTCGATATGGAGTATGTAATTGCCAATCAATTTGCAGAATGCTGCTTATCTTTTAGTTATAAAATGTGGTACTCAGTCTGAGCAGATGATGTCAGGTACTCTGAACCTGGGGATAATTTCATTTAGTACTTTGACAACTTCTCGAGCCTTATTGCTTCGGGTCAGGAAAACTTCTAGCCAACTTGAGAAGGTATCGGTACCTCTTTTTCTTAGGTAATTCTGAAAAATTTATTTACCAGAGTTGCCCTGGGAGGTTACCCTTGTTAATTGTCCCTATTTCTATTTTATTGGTTGTGTGAGGATTATTGTGTAGTGTATAAATTTTGTCCTATAATTTGATTCTTTAGGTGTTTATGCAGTGCATTTGTCCCCAAATGAGTTTTGTTATGTTCTGTCTGTACAACTTTCTATAGTACCCTTTCAGATATTATTACTTGTCCTGTTTTTAAGTGGTACATATTACCTTTGAGTTGACTTGTTGATCTTTTATTAATTTTAAATTTTCTTTTGAATATGATACATTAGAGCTTACCTCTATGATTTTGCCATCTGGGATTAAGGATGCAAATCCTACCTGGCTGTTTTCTGCTGCCTTTTTCCCACTCGATTTGCTAATTGATTGCCTTTTTCCTGGTCCATATTACCTTTTCAATGTCCTCTGCGATGCATAATGGCAAGCTTTTTTGGTAATTGAACAGAGCTTTAAGATTTCTTCAGCGTGCTTTATCTGTTTTCCTTGTGATGAGAGCAATCTTCTTTCTTTTCATAGTGCTCCGTGGGCATACACCTGCCTTGCGGGTTCCGTTTTTCACATGGTTGTTTTCATTGGTAAACCACGTTTCCACCTCAGGCAGCGGTGTATCTTTTAAGTCCTGTCGACTGGAATATGTTGCTGAAGGGACAACCCACTCAGTCTAGGCTAGACAAAGCCGTGTATGTCTTAAACTTTCTGACCTTCTCTAGTGATTGTCCTTATTCACCTTCTTTTCGGCATTTCTCCTCTCTTTTGTCAACTCAGCCACTGTCTGGCAAAGCTCCTGTGCAGATACGGGATCTTGTCTCTGGTCAGTGGTCTGGTCCACATGAGTTGATAACTTGGGGAAGGGGATATGCTTGTGTCTCAACAGATAATGGCCCTCACTGGGTACCTGCGCGGTGTGTGCATCCTGCTGTTGGCCCTGGAGGTCGTCAGTGCAGTTCCTGATCTGGCAAAGTTCATTCCATGGAACAGTCGAAACGTCTGGGTGACATTAATGAAGGAACTGAACCAGATGACCTTTTGTGCATCGATGGCATATCCAGAGCAGCCGTTTCACACCTGCCTTGTTGGTATCCCCCTGAACGACACGGAAGCATCTCTCCTGGTGCAAGATGTCGTCCAGCAGCATGGCTTGTTAAAACAGGACTGTAATAGTGTACACAAATGTCTAGAACATATTGATAGTTGGATTGCTGTGCTGCCTGCTAGTGCTCCATTTCAAGAATTAGATATTTTAGGGTCACTATTTGCAGAGGATTGTGTGTATTTTAATCAGCGTGTGGGTTATGATATAGCACAGACACGTAGTGAGTTTATAGTACAAGATGTGTCCCCTGAATCATCTTTCTACAGAAATGGTTCCTTTTGGTGTCGGCACTTACATAAAACTCAGACTTGGAGTGCTCCAGCAGTGAGTGCACCTCGTCGACTCCCTAAGGGAGTGTTTCTTGTGTGTGGAGATAGAGCATGGCCAGGAATCCCTGCACAGCCAATAGGGGGGCTTTGTACGTTTGGAAGGTTGGGGTTGTTGACACCTGCTCATAGACTGCTACTTAATCACTCGTTGCTCCATCAACGAAACCGCAGACCAGTACACCTTAATGACCGGTGTGATGATAACATACTGCTCTGGAATTATGGACAGAGAGTGGCTGCTTCTGCAATTCTCCCTTGGGCAGCTGCAGCTAAGGCCCTGGGCACTTTGAATAAGATGGCTTGCTGGGTAGCGAAGCAGGTGAACAGAACCTCACAGATATTATACCAACTTGCCACTGACATAGATTCTGTCCGACATGCAGCCTTACAAAATAGAGCAGCTGTGGATTTTTTACTTCTAGTCCACGGATATGGGTGTCAAGACTTTGAAGGGATGTGTTGTATGAATCTGTCAGATCACTCTAGGTCCATTTATAGAAGCATTGCTGAGTTGCAGGCAGCAACTCAGAAGATCAAAGAAAGCACTGGGTTTTTTGGCCTAGAAGACTGGTTTGGCAGATGGGGAATACCTAGTTGGTTAGCCTCACTTTTCAAAACGGGATGTTTAGTAGTATTGATGGTTGTAGTTGTGTTACTAATGCTGCCGTGTTTGATATCGTTCCTGCAAAGGGCCCTGCAGGATACGATACGGGCGGTCTTCGTAGCACAACTACAGACAGGGGGAATTGTGGGGGGAGATGGCAGGCCCATAGAACCCCCGAGACCCCTGGAAGTAGAAGATTTTGAAGTGTTGCAGGGTGTGAGGCCTTTCCCTTGAGAAAAGTGAGGCTAATTGCATGTTCCCATAGATACAGCCTTGGGTGTTAGGCAGTACAAGGCCAAAGCTGTTTGGTAATGTGCAGGTGTTAAATTCCTGGGTGTTTTTGTGGGAATATGTTTATGTTGTGTGTGTGGGAAAGTAGAGTTTAGCGATCTCAATAAAGGCTGCCTGCTGTGCTGAGCAGGCAGACATCTCTTTGTCTCATCACCTTTTGCGTGTTGTGTGTCTTTCTTCCCCCACGGACCAAGACCTTCCGACAGTTACCCTACGACATGTTGCCTCAATTGTTTCTATGCAACCGTGATGTACTGGTTCCTCCATAGTCGTTGAACTGGACAAAAAGGTGACTGGATTGTTGATGTTAAATCTGGAGGGTGAGAGCCAGTGACTCTCTTTCTGTTCTAGCACTGCTGAAACCACATGTGATATTAGAAGTCATTGTAAACTTTTTGTGCTTTTTGTATGTTTAGCACTACTGTTGTTACCGCCTTCAAGCATCCTGACCATCCTTTGCTTACTTCATCTAATTGGTTAGAGGAGTATGCCACTGCTCGTCGATATGTTCTTATCTGTTGGGCTAGGACTCCCAATGCAATCCCTTGCCTTTCGTGTGAGGAAAGCAAAAAAGGTTTAGTCACATTTGGAAGGCCTAGTGCAGGTGCTTGCATCAGTTCCTTCTTAAGTTGATGGAAGCTTGCCTAGCTTCTCCAGTCCACACTAATTGTTTAATCTCATCTTGTAGAATCTGGTATAGGGGTTTGACTATCAATCCATATTTGTAGATCCAAAGCCTACACCAGCCAGTTATTCCTAAAAATGTGCGAAGTTCTTTTGGAGTCTGGGGCAAAGGTATTTTATAGATGGCTTCTTTCCTCTCTGGTCCTAGTCGAAGTTGTCCTCTTGAGATTTCATATTCTAGGTAAATGACTTCTTTTGACAATCTGGGTTTTATTTTGGATACTTTGTACCCTTGCAACCTTAGAAAGTTTAATAAAATTACAGTCCAGCTTTCACATTCGTCCTGGGTCCTGATGTCAATTAAGAAGTCATTCACGTATTGCAGGAGGACTCCGCTGTCTGACGGTGCAGTTCGTTCTTCAAGATCTTTTGCAAGTTGCGAAGCTTGTGGGGCTATATTTAAATCTTTGAGATAATACAGCCCAGGTGAGCTGGGATCGGCGACTTGTGTCCAGATTTTCCCACTCAAAGGCGAACAATTTTTGACTTTTAGGGTCCAAAGGCAGGCAGAAAAAGGCATCTTTTAAGTCTAGAACAGAAACATATTTATTTTTAGTTTGGTCAAAAGTGTATATGGGTTTACTACCATTAGGTGGAGATAGAGGATATTGTTTGTTTCTTACTGACTGTGTTCTGGGTTTTAGCCTTACTGTTTTGTGCAGTTTTAGCTCTTTCTGGGGTCCCGTCGGCCCAAACTCCAGGGTAAAACTTGATTAAGGCTTGATGACGGCACTTCTCCCAATATTTGTAGCTGAATTAAAGCAAGACTTAAGATTTCGATTAGTTTATTTTCTCTGATTTGTATCTCCCTATTTTTAACTCAATTTTTGCATTCAAATCTTGTCTTGAAAGCGATATAGGTGTATGAAGCATATAAAGGAATTTGTGCATTACTTAAAATGTTTCATAAACAATACCTTCTGATGTTGACTAGTTTCTTTTATAACATTCAAAGGTATGTTATTCATAACATTTAGTTCTTGATTTATCACAGAACATGATGCACTAGTGTCCACCACAAAACTCTATTTTATGTTTGTCTTTCCCCAGTTCCATTAAAACCAGGGTGTCTCTGGAGTGCAAACTCCCCGATACTCTGAAGAAGTTGGTAATGGTTATTCTTATCAGACTTTAACATAGTTTGGGCGTATGCCCTGGTTGCCTTTAATACTAATTCCTTTTCAGTTTCAGTTTGTCCTAGTTAGAACAGCTGGGACCAGTTCATCACTGTATGGGTGTAACCCAAAACTGTGTATTCTATAGCCTTCCATGCCATTTCCCAGAAACTGGTATCAATAGACTATTTACACCTTCTGCCCAGAGCAGCCTGACTACTCCGGCTATAAACTAGGTGTTAAGAGGCCTGCGAGATAAGAGGGTGCCTCCCTGTCCTCACACTCTTTTGTGGAACTCCCCGCCCTGAGGGAAGTACTGAGCATTCCTGCCTGAACTGGAGAATATATAATCTTGGAGTCTTGGAACTTTTGGAACCACTCGTGGGATCCAGAGGAAGACTGCAGATCACCGCTCTCAACCAGACTGCAGACCACCACTCTCAACCAGACTGAGACCACCACTCTCGACTGGACTGCAACCACCACTTTTCAACCGGACTGCAACCATCACTCTTGACCGGACTGCAATCACCACCCTTGACCAGACTGCAACAGCACTCTCACCAACAGGTTTTCCCCTCTCCTTTTACTTTGGACTCAGGGGACCCAAAGAACACCACTCTGTTCATGCCCCAGGGTGCTGGGTTATGCATTTGGGTTTTGTGGGTTAAAACCAATTGTTTGTCTGTATAATCGTACTTATTGTATTATTTTATTAAATTGTTATTCCGACTTATAATCTCTCTTTTGAGTTGAGTTCATTTCCCATACTGGTTTACCTTTAAACCAGTACACAGTTAAAAGCATCTAGCATCCAATCAACATTTTCCCAGTCCAGACCTAAAGTTTTAATATATGCTTTCAACTTCTTTGTTACCCCAACCGGATCATCTCTATATTTACGAGCACTATTTTTCTAATTTTCTAGATCTCCCATAAAGAAATTAAGCTTTATAGGTCGGCAGGTCTTGTTCTCATTTTGCTGCGCGTTTGCCTGCTCAAGGGAGATAAGGACGGGGAAAGGGAAGTTTTTTCTTCTTCCCCTTTCTCTGTCCCTCTTTTGCTGTCTTGAGGATGAGGACAATAAATTGTCCTCTTTTATCTCCTTTACCAGCCCTTGACAGTTTAAAAAAGCCAAAAACAGTTCAGCATACACTTCTTCGTTCCATCGCTCCTCCTTATGAAGGGTCGACATAAGCTGTAACACTGTATTCATTTGAAAAGAGCCAAACTTCGGCCAAGTTTCCCCTTCAAGCAGCCCATGCAAAGGCGACATATTTATAGAGAGCCTGCATAACTCCTGCCTCTGTAGAGATGTTTCAGGGCCAGTCAAATGCCTCCAGTGCTGCAAAACCAAGGCTAAAGGAGATCCTTTTGGGATCTCCTCCTCTTGGGACTTGACACAACCCATGATGACAACTACCAGGCAGGAAAAAGCTTCCTGGCGCCAGACTTGAACTTGAGACGTCAGGAGTACCACGTGAGCTCCCTCTCTGAACGCCACCACCAACTTCAGGTTAGGGCATGTTTCCCAATCTGGAGGAGTCACAGGTCCCACTTTTCTGCCTTTCGGAGTGCCAAAACTGTTGCCTAAAAGACCGTGGAGAAAAAAGACTCCAGGTCAATTTAGCGTATAAGATAAAGAAAGCAGGTCCTTTAATGAGTCCGTAGGCCTAGAGGAATACATACCACATGTGCGCGCTCAGACAGTGGTTCTATGATTTTGTAATAAGGTCCATTCGATCCCAGATTTGTCCACCCCTGGTTCTGCCCCATTCTGCCCCCTGACACGCCCCTTCGGGAATTGGGTCTGGGGGTGTTTGGGACCCCTTCTTCCTCCTCTTCATCTTCTTCACAACACGTACAGTTCTTGGAGTTCCTCCAAAGTTCTGGGCTTGAAGGTCACTGTGTCTGTGTGATATCTTCTGGTCCAGGCCTTAAGGTGTTTTTCTACAATTCTACCTTGAAAAGAAGACTAAACACGCTAACGGAATTTTAGAGGGATTGATATGAAATGGGGTAGTAGGGTTGGATATGTGTAAACATTATGCTACAGGGTAAGCGACTGTCAATATAATACAGCTACATTAAAATCTGCATTCACTACACATTTACTTCTAAAATCTAAAAAAAATTTAAAAAACCAAAAAGCTCTGAGGCATCAGGTGCTCTTTGTTTGTGTGTGTGTTGGAAACCCAGGACCATCTACAAAGAGGTCATGGAGTAGATGTAAGGTTGGTCTGGCAAAACGTGATTAAAACAGAGCCGTAGGGAAGGCAAAGCCTTGAGGATGTGAAGGGTTAAAGGACAATAAGTAAGGATGACAGTGTCATTCTCGACCCTTTTGTCAGGAAGGATTAGGAGCGAATGTTGATGTGACTGAATCGCAGGTACAAATCCGTCTTCTCTAACTGCAATTTCAGTAGCAAAGGAGACCCAAAGTTGAGAATCGGGCACCAATGATGCTGTATTGGGTGTGGCTGAGCTGGAGTTCATTTAGCCTGATATAGGGGAAAGCAGGGTTTATAGGAGGCAGTTCTGTAGACTGCTCAAAATGCTCGCTGTCCCTGGGGGCACAGGGCACCACAGACCACCCTTGGGCAGCTTTGGGGGCACTACCTCTTTTTCTAAAAGCCTCCCAACACAGTTTAGTGCAAATCGTATCCTGATCTGCCCTCCAGCCCTCAAGCCAGCAGTGCCAAACGGCAGGCTTCCTCTTGTATTTTCTCCCAGGAGGCGTGCCACTTAGAAAGGTCTGCAACTGAGGTGGGGCTTTCAGGGAACAATGTAGAGCAAATTCTGTTGGTTCTGCGAAATGTCCTGAGAAGCTAAGGCCAGGCCCTGGCAAAAGCAGTCATTTGACTGGAGGGAGCAGCGCCAAAAAGCCACAGGCACGTTTTGGGGTGGACTTGATGCAGTAACAAATAACAAGAAACGGTACTTCTAGCTACCCCAGCCTCTTCTGCGACCTCGTTGCCCGCCCTCAGGGTCGCAGCACTACACGGGGCAGATCCCTCCGCGGACTCGCCCAGGTCGGATCCCTCCGCGCCCCGAGGGCGCGCAAACTCCCTGAGCCCCGCTAAGCGCCGGGTCGACGAGGGCGGACCCGCCAAGGGGGCGGGGACAAGCGAAAACAACAGGCGGCGATCCGGTGGCCCAATGGGCGCGCCGCGGAGGGCCCGGCCAAGTGGAGGAAGCGCGGGGGCGACAACGGGCGTTGTCGTGGCTGACGAGATTATCGGGGCGCGGGCCGCCCGGCCTGGTGGCGCCACTACTGTCTTCGGAAAGGTCATCGGCAAGGCGCTTCCCCGGTACCGTCAGCGACGAGGACGAAGAGGTAGCCGCGGCTTTGCTCCGTGCGCGGTTCCTCTTCCCTTCCCCCCCCCTCTCCCTCCCTCCGCGCTCGCGGGCACCCTGAGCCGAGGACCCGGGGCGCGGTGCCCGGGGGCGCGGCAGGGCGGGTGGCGGCGCTGCTGCTGCGCGTGGGTGGAGGGACGGGGGACGGACGGGGCCTCTCTGGGTTGTGGCGCTCTCTACTGCACCATCCCCAAAGCTTGTTCCGTGCCTCGCCCCCACCCCCATCCCCCCGGCTGCCGCGGCGCGTACTGGGTTGCTGGTGCTGTCCGGGCTCGCCTCGGTTCCCAGCCCCACTCTGTCGTGTGCGCGCGTAGAGAAGGGCCTCCGACGGTATCGCGCTTGGTGTCAGCCGCAGACGTTTGCCGCACGATGTCCCTTTGGCACTGCAAGTCGGGCAAAGTTTGCTGCCGAGGGTTGGGGGTGGTCCTACCTCGTGTAGGATGATAGTTCTGAAAGCTTATTTTAGGCACGCGCAGTCAATCTCGTCGGGGATTCCGGGGGGATGTGGGTTGTGTGTGTGTGTCTGTAAACAGTGAACATCTGAGCAGTGACCGTAACGAGTTGGTTCTGCATTGGAGACATGCAGGTCTCGATGTGCCTCGTAGTAGCATCGGTTCTGAGCCCCGAAACTGGATTATTAAAGCAAAGAATTGCAGCTTTTTCTCGTTTTTCTTAAAAATATCCCCCAACAATATCTAGAACCTGGTCATCCTGCAGGCTGCAAAAGCTTCCCAGATGTTGTTTCTGTGGGGAAGCGGGACCGTGATAACAGCGTGCTTGCGGATTTCACGGGTGCTGGTGCTGGGAACTAGAGTGAGGTGCTTCGAGCAGCGTGGGGGAAAACAATGCAGCCGTTGCCTATGCGATGTTAACTTTAAGTTAGTATCCCGTATAATTTTGTTATTAAAATGCTGAAGGTTAACAGTTAGGGGCGTCTTCTGCTTTTGCAGCAATATGGTTTATGCGCAATATAGAAGACAGACTCGTACTGTGCGGTTGCAGGCTTCCTGTGATTATGCGTTTGTTCAATACTTGAGCTCCCTGTACCGTGGGAAATGAACGGCAGCTGCTCTTCCACTTCACTAAACTCTTTGCTGATTCAGTTAAGCCATTCGCCTCCTGCCTCTGCGTGGACCACATCCAATAGAAAAAGTGCTTAGGAAACAATCAGCCCGAACTAAAACCTACCGGAGGTCGCTAATCGCAAGTGGTGGCCCGTCTCCTTGTCCCCATGGTCTTGCATGCCGAATGGCACTTCTGGAGGGGGCTCTGTAAACATGTTGTATTTTGGGTATAGAAAGCATGGATATCGCACAAGACAAATCAACGTTCCGGCTTGTGTTTGGGAAATCTGGCAATCTGCTTCTGTAGGAGTTCAGTGGGGCAGATGGATTTGCTTAAGCTGCTACCTTTTTCTGAAGCCGGTTACGTTTTAACTGTTTACTCTTCCTCCAGTGCCTCGCGTTCCCCGGTCTTTCACCCCAAGCTGCGACACTTTTCCTAGTCATGCCTAAGGAGCCATTTATCGGGTTATCTGAAGCAGAAGATTCTGGGGAATCTGTAAGTACTGTGGAAGCTTTCTGTACGCTAAACTGTACCTGTAATTAGTTCCTCATTTACTAGACTCCTTCCCATCCCGTCTTTCCCTCCTGATAGGGCACAGTAGACTACTTTGGGTGTTCTGGCGCTATAATCTTTTGCCTCTAGCTTGTAATGGAGTTGAGCTTTTTGACTAAAAGCAGTGCTCTAAAGCAATACTCATCCCTGGGTATGTACTTCTGGTGCAAAATGCAGTGTTGTTTTGGAGCGCGGTCTGGTGCCTATTGTGGTTTAGAGCAAGAGTAGTAGTACTTCTTCTAACACGGAGAAGAGGGCTTGGGGTTTTTGGCAGGTCAGGGGTGAGGAAGGGCAAAGCTGGTTGAGAGGTGCTGGATGCTTTGCTTTTAGCTACGAAAGTCAAGTTCAAAGACTTTGTAAACCCGCGCAAAAGGCAGCCTAAAGTTTATGTTCCGCCAGGATTGCTTATGTTGCCTGAAGATAGAACGGGGGCTTTAACCCGGAGACCAAGTCAGCTTCTGTGGCTGTTTTGTAGTCCGTTCCTGTCTAGCTTGAAAAAAATGCCTAGCTCTTTTTTCCCCCTACGGTGTTCCTAATCGGTCGCTGTGGCTTTGCTTGGCAAACGTTGGTTGCAGGCGGACGGACGGGCAGTAATTCGAAGCGCAATGGTTGAATTGCTAGGCCTTGGCTAGCTGCTTTCTCTGAGTGGTTCTCTGCTCTCATTCCTTCCCCTCCTGCCCTCTCCCTTCTTTGTGTGTTCCATTTTATTTTATTTTATTTATGGGTTTGTACTTCCTTCTCCAGCTTCTTGGGCGTGTAATGGTTGTTGGCGAGAAGCGTGCTGCTCACCTGGGCCTGACCAATGGATTCCGGATGGTTGTGGACGAAGGGCCCGAGGGTGGGCAGTCTATGTATCGCATACATCTACGTGTTCTGGGTGGCCGTCAGTTGGGCTGGCCGCCCGGCTAAGATTTTTACACCGCAAGAGTTGCCGCACGTGTACAAATCGCCGCTGAATGGATTTCATCTGTTGCCCGTCAATCTAGCCGCTGTTGATGTGCAAGTTTTTGTGACGTGTGTCTGTGGAAGGTAATAAAAGCTTTGAGCAGCAGTTGCACAATAAAGATTTAGCATGGGGATATCATCTCCGTCTTGCGCGTCTTACTGAGGGGAAATAGTTCTGCAAGTTCAAACGGTGTCTCCCGGGAGTGCAAGTATGTGGAACGTTTCAGCCTGTTAACAGCGTTCCATAGACAGATAGTGATTTGCCCAGTCATTTGAAGCGTGACGCTGCAAGCGCTTAGCAGTCTCCTGCCCCTTGTGGGAAGCAGTCTTAGCTTTTTGGCAGTGGTATGCAAATGTACAGGACGCCCATGTAGGTTGCTGCTAAAATTTTAGAAGATACCGTATGTGACGCTGCAGGCATGCCATGTAATGGTGGTTTCGTCGCAGTGCAATGTGTTGGAAGCATCCGACTCCCATTGGAGCTCTTTATCAATGGCTGTGTGATAAGACCCCCTTGATATCTCTTTTCTGGTGAGGAGGGATACGGTAGGAGAAAACAATTGGTCTAACTGGCAGCTGTGGTGCTTCCATAGCAAAGTGGAATCTCTCTTTTGTCAATTTGGGTCAACTGTCCTGGCTCTGTCCCCTCCCAACCTCTTGCTCACCCCCAGCTTACTGGACTGTGGGAGTGGGGATGGTTGGAGAGACAACCTCCATGCTGTGGGAGCAGTGCTCTGTAGTAGCTGAAACACTGGTGTGTTGTCAACACCCTTCTAGCTGCAACTGCAAAGCACATCACTATGAGGCCTGCTATGGGGAAAGTTACTTCCATCCCAGCCAGACCCAAGCCAAAACTGCATCACAGGGAGACAGCAAACTTCATCTTGCTTTAACAGCTATTAAAAAAGGGAGATGGGCATGGGAAAGCAGGGTGGTCTGTTGTTGCCCTCGAACACTAGGTTATTTGCTCCTAGTTCTGAAAAAAAGTTTGCATGTGCAGGTTATTCAGAACAGGCTTGATCCTGTGGACCCTGTGGGGATCCTGTGAGTTACTCTCAGCAGGAACTTATACCTGTGGAGCACCTTCACGGGAGGGAACAGATTGTTGAAGTGTGTAAAAATACAATAGCTCAGTTGGTTAGATCATGGTGCTGATAACACCGAGGTTGTGGGTTTGATCCCTGCATGGACCATTCACTTAAGAGTTGGACTCGATGATCCTTGTAGGTCCCTTCCAACTCAGAATAATCTGTGAAGGTGAGGGAGAATAATTCTTTCTTTCATTACTGAGGCATCTGAGGTGCCCGCTGAAAGGCTTCTTCATCTCTTCGGTATCCCCAAGTGATGGGGTGAAGTTTGGTGATGCAGACATGTAGGTAAGCCGAGGACTTCACCTTTGTTTAATTGTCCCCGGGAAGAGATGGAAATGATTTATCTGAAGGAGATGGAAACTGCACTGGTGCAGTGTTTGCTTACTGAACGGTTGAGGTAGGTGGCTGTGGGAACCAGTTAAGCCGGCAGCATCTGCATTCAGTTAATTAGGATACAAAAGGAGTGTTTTGGCCTTGACTGATGTTTTTGTTAAACAGAGTGCTGTGTTCTCAAAGCAAAAACCACTTTGAACCGTCAGCATGATAGCGTGTGTTTTTCTCTCATGGCTGAACACAGCCACCACATGATGCGAGGTGAATGTGTGGGATCAAGGCACTGGTTTAGGACGATCCTGGGAATTCTGGTTAACTAAAAGAAAAACACCACATGCTGTTTAGAAAGGAACCCTAATAAAAGGGGAACGCCGGAAAGATCAGCGGACGAGTCCCAAAATCAAACTCTGTGTGGTGTGCAGCCTCATTTCTTTCAGCACCCCTATTCACCAGATCTGGTAACCCTGATGTGTGACCTGCATTATGGGACCCTTTTTCAGTGCCCACTGCTGGACGGAGGTGGTAAGTGCCGGCATTCATCCTGTTAGAATGGGACAGTGGAGCCTGCAGTACAGGAATCTGCAGAGTCATGTAGTAATAATGGGGCAGGGAATTTCCCAAGAACACAGACTTTATTTGAAGATTTTGCAACAGGTCTTGAATGTAGCAGGACATAAGGTTATGGATGAGCAATATGGATGAGCAATGAACATTTGCTTTTATGCAACCATTGAGGGTAACAGAGCCTGATATAGGGACAAAGGAACAATGATGACAATATTATATATAAATTTAGACACCTTGGAAATGCACTCTTTTAGACTTGTTGGACAACTTCTTCTGGGAGAAGGAAGATGTATTACCTGCCGTTTCTATCTGCTCTGCTGATCAGCCTATTTATATCCCCCGCTGACAGGGGCTTTAGGACTTCTGGTGAGGGGGTCTGACTTCTATCTTTAATCATGCTAATTTACCTTCCACGATAGTTTTGTTCCCCCCGTCCTTAATCATGACGCTTTTTGCGAAACGTGGCTGCTTTTGGCTGCGGCCTGCCGTGCCAGGGCCTCGCTGGGCCCAAGCAGCAACAGGGGCAACCAGAGGAATCAGCTCTGCCCGACACTTCAACACTCCCCCCACCACCACCCCATTGCCTGGGGCCACCGTGCAGGATGCCACGGGGGTACCCCGATGGCTGGGGAACCCAAGCAGCGGTGGCGGTGGTGGCAGCGGCAGCCAGAAAAAATCAGTGCCCGGCTGCTTCCCCCCCGCGCCTCGCCGTGTGCCGCCGTGGCAGTCCCCCCTCTCTCTCTGAGCCCTCCAACATGCCAATGTGTTGGAACTAAACTTCAACTATGAAACCAAAAGAAGAAGAGGAAGGAGAGAAAGAAAGGAAGGAGAAAGAAAAAGAAAAAAAAAAAAAAAACGAGGGGAGCTTGGATGCATGAATCATCTGAAGAATGGACACATAGCATTGGAACCATTGAATCTATTTGATAATTTAAGTGCCTATAACTTTGTTCTTGGTAACTTTAAAAAGGTAAGTTATTTATACAGTGTGTTTTGTGCTTCAAACCAACAAACACCTAGTCCTAAGTACATGAGTACAATTAGTTGCCCTCACACACATGCCATAGTCGAGATTTAAAGAAAAAGGTTAAGAATAATACTAAAATTGATGAAGAAAAAGAAAGTTAGAACTTCAGATTGATTGATTGATTTATGCCTGTGTCAGGGACCTGAGTTGTGTCTGAGACCCTGCCATAGTTGGTCCGCGGTTGTGCTCATTAATGTGTCATATTGTATGGTTTCACTGTTGGGAACTTAACTTTTGGAAAAGAAACAACAGAGCCGTTGTTGGCATGGAGTTGGTATCATAAGCCATTGTGGTCTTGCTTCGCGCGCTGGCCATGCGTGAGCCGATGTCACAATTCGAAAATTCCACTCATGTGAGGGGGATATAGGAGATGGTTCTGGATTGGGCAGGGGGCGGGGGGAGGACAATATGCACACTGCTTTGATCCAGGGGATGCCCTGAAGGTGCATTGCCTGCCTGCCCCTCCCACCGAGTACCATGCTCCTTCTGCTCGGTGGCTTTTCAGAAATTCAGAGGTCGGTATGTATTAATTGCTATCGCAATAAAGTTGCTTTGCTTACACCCTTTGTGTCTTAGTGTTTGTGATTTTGGGAATCCTCACGAACCTAGAACAATGCCAGATTATTTGTTGTCTTGAAATATGTACACGGAGATTGTTTTGATATGTGTTTAAATCTTCTTTGAAAATACAACTGATAGAAAACAATGTAACAAAGACAAAAAAAGAGAAAAATAAAAAAAAAAGAAAAAAAGGGGGAAGAGAAAAAAACAAAAGAAAAAAGAGAGAAAAAAGAAAAAAGAGAGAAAAAAAGAAAAAAGAGAAAAAGAAAAAAAAGAGCAAAACAAAAACCTTAACTATCCAAGGTGCAAGAAATGTGTACTCTGTATTAAATACCATACTTTTAAAACAAAAAAGGGGGAATATGACACCCCAAGTAGATAAAGCTGTATTTACCCTTAATTTTTTGAATTTAGATCAATAAGTATTGTACAAAACCCCACAAGAAGATACCTAATGACAAGGTCCTATCGAGTTGTTAGTATGAGGAAGGGGGTATGCTTGTGTTTTGTCTCCCGCAGGACCCTGCTGGCTTCCAGCACGTTTGATGAAACCTTATCACGAGTGGACCCGAGACACAATCCGATTCCACAGATGCAGAGGCTGTCCCTCAAGAATCCCAGAAGGAGACTGATGAATGCTGAGCTGCGTAAGACCTGCCCGAATGTCACATGGAAGAAAATATTCTAGGGATAATTCATTGTGTCTACTAACTCTTACTTACTGGCATAATGACTCAGTCATGGTGTGTACCTCTCGCTCATATGCCTTGTTGGCCACACCTGATGTTGTGATTAGTGTTACTAACAATACCTTTAACATCACTGTAAGTAGTCCTTACTATTTTAGTTGTATCACAAATCAAACTGTATCCACTCTCAATTTATCATTAATAATTCCCATGCACAGAAGAGCTGAACTGTGGCTCCCAGTGAACCTAACTAGAAGCTGGGAGGATGATGCAGTATACAGTAAATTAATGAAACTGTTAACACAATCAAGAAATCATAAGTGGATGGCTAATTGCTTTTATCATCTCTGCAGCAGTCATGGCAGCTACCGCAGCCATGGCTACTGCTGCATTGGCCCATTCAGTGCAGGCCATGCATACAGAGGCCAGTGTATTGGGTAATATGTCAGCATCAATAGCAGATTTTTTAATAATTTGTCTGTTTTTAGTATTTTAAGCCCTCTGGAAGCACATCGGACAAACCCAAAGACAAGAAGCCCAGGTCGTGGCCCTCTTCGCAGTGAACCCTGTGTGTCAAAACAAAAAGGGGGAGATGTGGGAACCAGTTAAGCTGGCAGCATCTGCATTCAGTTAATTAGGATACAAAAGGAGTGTTTTGGCCTTGACTGATGTTTTTGTTAAACAGAGTGCTGTGTT